ACCCTCATTATTCTCAGTATTATGAGTATTACTGCTGGAGATGGGACTGTTGTGGGCCATCAAAGTATTGCAAGAATGTGATGAGAAGATGCGAATCCGTGAGCACAATGTCCCTTGCCAAGATTAGAGGGCCACGTTGGACCAACAGGAGCAGACTCGCTGTTTGGGTGCAGCTGCTGAGCAAAGTTTGGTGGCGACATTGATCGTATTCATCAAAAAAATCAAGTAGACTCTCCGTCGTACCAGCTGCTCCTCTGCCCACAGGCTGTTGCTGTCAGTTCCAAGCGTGCGAAAGGACACTGACTGCCTGGTGATGCGATCATCCAGCTTGAAGCGAGCCTGCAGCTCCTGCTCAGACTTCCAGGACAAAACTGAGAACAATCAATACCAACACTCGTTCGTCAGCGCCTGTATTGTCTCCTTCACATCTTCATCATCTTGCTGCGCGTGATCAAGGGAATCCTTCTCAGTTTTCTGGCACTGATGAAGAAGAGCTACACATGAAGTCATAGTCATGGAATATCATGGCAACAAGGAAAGAACAGAACTGCCTGCGCCTGCTGTATCTGAAAGCCCTGCTGCAGGGGCCTGTGCGATTTTGAACAAGCACGTCTGACTCGGAGAACCGAATGCAATGAATTTCAAATGGCGAAAGGCAAGGAAACCCAAGAAAAGTCCAGGTGTGAGGGCGTGGGCTATCACCTCAGGCCCCCCCCAAACCTCTCCGAGGCCTCCCTGCTACTCCCTAGGTCTTCTCATCTGGGTCCCTTTTTACAGAGTCCCCACAGGGCTTGCTCATGGTAAGCGGCCCACGCTGTAAGAGCATGCTGCATGTACTGGTATTGCAGTACCTCCAGTCAGCAGCAAATGCTATGCCCTACGCTCCATCCTGGCATGTAACACTAGGAGCACCTCATGTGGAAGATGTGGAAGAACAGGGGCTGGAGCTTGCGAAGCTTGGGTGGCCGTATGCGACCGACAAGCCTGAGAAGTTGCCATTTGCTTGAAGCCTATGTCCATTGCGAAAGACGCCCCCGGCCGGGTCGACAAAGTTGACGAGCCCTCAAAGATTCCACGACATTTGCGGACAGTTATACTGACATTCGCTGATGCAGGAGAGCTGATGAGACAACTGCCTGGCGGCACTACCAGGGGCATCGTACCAAGCGGCAGCCCTCCTGTCAGCGAACGTGTGCGACTGAAGGAACCGCAGCCCGGGTACGCTTGGAACAGCTTCGTTTCCTGCTGGTAGCCCATACGTGGGAAACCCTGGCCTGGGTCACAAAGCCTATGACATCCTATGACAATCACGGCCAACATTCAAGCAAGTGCCTCTGCTTCGCTGGGAATCTGACAAAGCTGCTTCTGAATTCATACCTCTCTTCCTGGCCACAAGATTGATCTCTTGGCCAAGATAGATTGGAAAAGTTCTGGCTGATGGCCTTCAAGCCCATGGCACAAGGCATTCCACAGAACCAGCCCCAGGGTCAACACCGCATCAGCTATGTCTAGAGTCTAGACACATTCTGCGTTCCGGCAATGGTATGTGCAAGTGGCTATGTGTGCCAAGGCATGCCGAGCTTGGAAAAGATCCCCCATCCCTGTGTCTGCGAACAGTGAATCAGATTGTGCGGTGCGATTAGGACCGGTTGGCACTACAAATTCGATGACCATTGCAGATTGAGCATGTGTGCTGTTGGTGCTGTTCAATCCTCGAACTGAGAACGGCCCAGAATAAAGAATACATTTGGTCTCTAGCAACTCCAGTGGCCTCAACCTACGGCTTCCGTAAGCGCTGCAGCAGCAGTTTTTTAGGCCTGCGACCCAGTTGCAGAGCCAATGTTCGCATCCTCAATAACCAGGTCTACCTCATCATCTTCTTCCTCTTCATCGGGCTCACCTTCTTGAGGTAAGCCCATCATCTCGGCACCCTGTGACTGTGCAAATAGCATCATGCACATGACAAAGGTGTCCCGGGCATTGATGTGCTCGAGGCGGAAGGTGACCATTTCGCGAGAGGGTCTGATGATCATTGTGGCGCAGAGATCATCCAAGGGCGTGCTCAAGCCCTCAGGCTCTTGTCCAGCGAAGACGCCTCCGATGTTTGTCAGCAAGATACGCCTGACCTTGGCTCTTGGACATCTGGCGCGTTCCTTGCCGTTTTGATGCGTTGTCTCAGGTGCCCGGGAAACTTTTGATGCTTGACCTCTACAGGTGTGGGGACCATGCGTGATGCACATTCATGATTCAGACAAGACATCGCGGATTTTGTTGCAGCGGCTCAGCCGTCATGGCTGTGATGCTCAGCAGCTCGGGATCCAATTTGATAAGGCTGCAGGTGCAGGCTTTGGTGGGGAATGGGCTTCACCCTCCGGCAGGCCTGCCTTTTCTTTCAGACTTGCTGGGCTCTACGTACGAATGCAAGCTTGGGGCTAGGCACGCACAGAAACCATTGCAGTTTGATGCTTCACACCGCATCTTGATAACTTGATAGTCAGTGACGAACACTTACGCTTTGCTGATTGATATTGAGATGTGAGCTGCCCAAGTGACATGTTGTTTGCCATGAACCCTTATTTAGCCTCATTTTTTGCAGGCAGCTGTAAAAATGTGTGTGCTTGGTCCACTGTGCCATTCCCAGACTTCACATCACACGAGTGACAGGGCAGCTGGGGATCCAGAGTCCACGCTGCAAACAGAGATTTTGGAAGCCACTTGACATCAACGAGACCCCTAAAGACCGGAACAAGGATGCCTGCTGAGCACTACTTGAAAACCTACCCCTGCAATTAAAAGCTAGCCGTTGCCATCACACACAACCATACCGGCATAAACCATTTGTTCTAGAAACCTTTGCAGCATGTTGTGTGCATGAACCCTGCCAAATGAGGAAGCACTCGGATGGGAAACAAGGTACTATCAACACTGTCATTGTAACGATGATGTTTGCATCAACTTTCCACAAAGTCAGAGACATGGCATTTCGGGTACAGCGACCCTTGCTGGCCAAATTGAGATTTCCAGAGTCTGTCTTCATCAACTGCATCCAACACGCGCTGATTTCAGTTTTAAAAATATGCGATGTTTCGGAGCCAAATTCGACAGTGTTCTCTTATCAGGCCTTATCGCAGAAACATAAATTTTGCTGACGCGGTCCCAGCGCCAGCACATCGCGAGCTCCTGCGGTTCTGTTGCACTGACGCGAGCTATCGCGAATAAGATATGAGTGAAAACCGCAGGCCAAGATCGCGAGCTATCGCGGACAAATGTGCCTGCAAAATACTGACTTGCACACCAGTTTGCGCAACATCCACCATCGATATGAGAACTTTTGATGACACTCCTTCATAGGGGTTTATGCACCCGCTCAGTTGTGGTTGTTGCTGCTGTTGTTGTTGGTGGTGGTGGTGGCTTCGTTGGGGCCGGTCTTCTGAAATGGTATAGCACATGAAGCAGTAGAAATCAGCAAGCTCAAGTACTTACAGTACCGCTCTCACTACGACTTACATAGAATTTTAGGATTGAGGCCAGACACTTTCAGGTGCGAAGTAGTAAGCTACCCTTCTCTGGCAGACTCTGGCAGAGTTTCAGTGCCTACGCAACTACCGAGCCTACTGCGACCGTACGCCTCGAGCTTCCGTGCCAGGTTGCCACAGCAGTCATAAAAAAACTAACCAAGACACCCTCGTCTCCCAACCAGCCAATTTGCTGTCATCATGAGTGAGCTGAAGATAGGCTTCGGGGTTGGCAAGATGCTGGATCATGGCAGCATTCTCGTCTTGCTCTCCGTTTTGCCAAGCAGCGATCGCTGCGTTTTGCGCGGCCCTGTGCGCAACTAGCGCCCCTGCATGTCCAGTCAATGTTTCTGCAAAGTAGGGTGTGGTTGGCACGTCTGATACTTTGGGTAGTTTCTGCCTGCCATCTGTCACTTCTCGCCATCTTCACTTCACTAGCGGGTAGAGAAGGTGTACCCTGGCTATGTGGCTGGCAGCGATGTCTGCAATGCAGCAGAAAGGCAGACCATCTGCATGCATCACAGGAGCAGTGCATCTCTGCTCGACCTTTGCAAACCTTCCGAAGGCTTCCAAGTTAGGTAGAGCCGGAGCATCAAGCTACGTGTGTAAGCTTTGAGTTCAGACGGAAAGGTCACAAGCCATAGGGTTACAGAGGTGCCATGAGAAGTATGTGATAGCATGTGGATACTCAGATATATCGGATATGAGCAGCTGCATAAATTACGGATAAACAGCTACGTAAAAAGTCATGGGTATCACGTTTTGGGGGGTCCTATCGTTTTACAGGGTTTTGGCGCACTGCGGTGTTTATACCCATCGTTTTACAGAGTTTTGCAAGATCCCTCGCCTGGATGCCCCACATTTTTGCTTTTGGATGGGATCCTTATCAGTCGCCCATTTGGGGGTATCATTTTTGGGAGGTGCCTATCGTTTTACCAGGGTTTTGTTCATGTCGGGACATTTTTATCTCCGCACCTTGGCTCCTAGACGATAATAAATTCAATCGCTCATCTGTCATATGCGTTGAAGTTGCGTGTGTGCAAGGTTCAACGCTGCTCCGAGAGGATGAGCATGCAGATGCGACATGTGCGACAGACAAGGGGCTGGACGAGGCATTTCTAGCTTCCAGAAGGCTCTGAGCATGCGTGCACGGAGCCTCTTCTGCCAAGCTGCCTGGCTGGCCCGGACAATCCGAAAGATGCTGAGGTCACCATTGAGACTGCACGTGGTGGCTTTCAGCTGGCCGCTAGGTGAGAGTACCATCATACGCCGGCCCACGCGCATTTCCAAGACAAAGTCTCGCACAACCGTCTTGGCCTCACGAATGCAACTGACCCCAAGAGAAAGTTGATGTCTGTGCGAAAGCCTCCCAGATGGTATCGCTAGGAAACTATCTTCACCCGACAGTGGGGGCAAGGGTGGAATGAGCAGAGACGACCAGCCAGAAAAAAAATACATCCAAGTAGCTTAAGTAGGAGGTGCCTTCTAGGCCTGATGAATTAGCATACGTTGAAGGGCCAAGATGGGCACATGTCCAGAGACGCGCATTTTGAGATAAAGCCATGAGATCCACAACAGCCCAGACCGAATCAACATCACAAAGCGCCGAAATGCCACTTTTCACGCACATGGCCTCTTGAAGCTGATCCGTCATGGCTTTTGTGAATCTGCCAATTAATCATACAGAGCTTGGTCTGAATCCACTGCTGGCACATGATGGGTCGAGTCAAGTGGCTGTTGTTTGAGGTAGCATGCAACAAAGAGTTAGGAAGCTGAAGCTTCCGGAGCAAGTTTGCAGATGGCAGTGAAAAGAGCTGACAGCTTGAGCCAACAAGCAAAAAATGTTGGGCTCCGAAGCTGACCACAACCAGGCAACCGGGCAACTGTGGCCTGCTCGCGTCTTTGCTTTCCTCTAGAATTGATGCCAAGCAATCTTGCTGGGTAGCGGCGCATGAGATCCTGCATCGGCAGTACTGAGACCCACACATTTAACACATGATCCAACACATCATTGAGCAGCACAGCGCCTTAGTCCTTCGCAGCATCTGCGACGTCACGAACCACGGCCAAGAACTTGCCCTGACCACATGCTGTGAGAATGCTGAGGCCTGAAAACAGCCCTTAGATTCCCTGAGGATCCCTGAGGTGGGTCTCATCATGGCCGGCCCGTAAGGCTACGATGCGAATGAAGGACCTGGACATACCTGGATAAATGAGCCGGTCAATCCGTGCAGCCTGCTGGTCGCTGCTGTGCAGATTCAAGCGGAAGGCGGAGAAGGGAACCTCGAAGCATTCCACTTGATGAACACATTTCTTGGCGCGTGCTGCTTTCAAGCAATGTGTTGGTCAAAAGCAAGTCGGCAGCTAGAGCAGCGGATGCAATGATGCCTCCCTGGCCCAACGTTCTTACAGAACCTCCCCGAGCATCAGGCATCGGCGGACTTTGCTTGCTCTTGCGCGTCAGCATCGACACCAACAAATCTGACCGACTTTTGCCCCACCGTCTCGTACCTGCCGCAAGATCTGCATAACTCCACGAGAACAGACCGCAGAACAATTCAAATCGCATTTGCGACTTGCATAGGCTGGCTTCCTGAGCCCGCCTCGCTGTTGGGAAGACGGGCGTGTTCAGCAAAAGCTTCAACACACCGCGCATGCGCATGACCAATCGAACTGCACGGGTTTTCTTGTGTCTGTTGATGTGCACCTCATGGCTGATTCCATCGCTCAGAACACGCCACTCTTATCACAGGGCCTGCTCCAAACTGGTAAGCTCGCAGCAATGCCACATCCCCTTTCTTGCCAACTCCACCCCTTTCAGGAACATGGCAGATGGCACGTACGTAGCATGTGTAGGTATCGTAACATGCTAAAGGCAGTGGGCCTCTGGAAGCACCCATGCCCCAAGACAACTGTTTCCCAAAGCGGCCTCCAATTTCTCCTTCGCGTCTGCAGGAAGCTTGACCTGGCCAAGGCTTCCGCAAAGCACAGCGAGGAGCAGTCGACTGTGCAAATTCAATAGAAACACGGCGGTCAACCAGCTTCCACAATTTGCAATCTGCTCGGAAGATGACTTCCTCCTCTTCCTCACCTACGCACACTAGGTTCAACGAGACATTGAAGATATCAAGTGCGCCTGTGGGCTCGTCGCCAGCTTCGACATCTTGCTCCTTCTCTTCATCCTCCTTCTGCACCTCTCTCTCCTCGTTTCCCCTTTCATTCTCCTCTTCCTGCTCCTGTTCATCCTGGTTCTCTTCATTTTCAGCTTGGCCATCAGAAGGCGCCCCCTTTGCCTGGAGAATAGCTGAAAAAGTGCAAGGAAATGGCAGCAATGAGACAAAGTTCTTCCAAAACATCGCACCAGCACCCTGCTAGCTAGTGAGGGAAGAAAAGCAAAGCCAGAAGAAGCACGAATGTTCTGCTGCTTCCAGTTCAGCTTAACCGGGAGGTCAACAGCACAGGCATGCCTTTTTGCACAGGCATGAACACAATCTTTCCCCTTCCGCTAAGAAGGCATGTTCCCGTACGAAGAAAAGCATGTCCATAGGACGTGACAGCAGGAAAACACCCCTTCGAGGAAAAATCGCAAAGCATGTCCATGTATGCCCTATTGGACTCAACTCTGGAAGGACGTCCACTGGATACTTGCCTCAAGTGGCTCTTGCGGGGACACTTCAAGACCTCATCACGGAAGGCGCCAGCAGTCACTGTACTTTGGACCCTGGAGATGTAGCAGCGCTTGGACAGGTGTCAGGCTCTGAACGCCTGTCACAGATGCATGCTCTGTGGGTTATTAGGGGCCGCACCGGATCCTCTCGAGGAGCGAGCTTTCTTTGCATCGCCTTGGGAAGTCTTCTATTGTTTTTTTCCGTTCTGGCAAGCCTGCGGCTCTCAAGCTTGATTACTGTCACCTGGTTGGAGACACTGCTCACAAACTTCTGTCATCTTCTGTCTGTGCAGTTGAGATCAGTACCGCCGTCGGCAGCTGTGCTGCTCAGAGTTGTCACAGCTGTTGCAAATAAACTTCCTCCCGCAGACATCGCAGACCATTGCACCATCTGGCATCATTTGCACAACTCATCTCCTGAAGTAACGGGAGAGAAGAGCGAAAGTCCCATAAAGGGATTGGCTGCCTGCAACGCAAAGTTTGCCGTCTCTAAGTCAAACAGGCAATGTAATGACATCGGAAACTTGGAAAAGCCTACCTACCCCCAGAAAATCACGGTGATTCCTTCCCATGTCCTTTGCAGCCCCAGATATCTGTATCGTAGTGTATAGCTTTCAAACTGGCCTGTTAGGACTGCGGCCTCGACCATGTTTGCTACGTGATACCTCTTGTGATATACCCCCGGGCAAATCTCGACATGATATCGGTTGACGTGCGAATAATGTGATTGCTGGAAAGTGACCGTCGCGTGATCATCACATGGTTGCTGCTCAACTAGGCTGACAGAATCCCGAAAAATCGGATGTCTTGAATTTACAAGTCGTCGCCCACGTTTGCCGGGTTTCTTTTCCTTCGCGGACCTTTTACCGGTGACATGTTGGTTAAGGGGGCGGGGAATGCATGATGCGCAAGCGGTCGACAGTCATGGCAGGCGCATTAAATTTGAGCATGCAAGAGGAAGTGGAAGCAACAGCAAAGCTGGAGCAAATTTGATTTGCAGTCTCATGATCATGTCGAAAACGAATACACTCCGTGTCTTCGAAATTGAATTGGGAAGACGCGCATGGCACCCCTCTCAGTGTTTCGCGGCGGCCCAATTCTTGAAATGCAGCAGTATGTAGCTTGACTCATGCAGAAGCAGTCAACAGCCATGGCAAGCGCAGTAACTTTGGTAAACTTGGACATGACAGAAGAAGTGAAAAAGGATAAATCTTGAGCAAGTATGTCATGCAATATCAAGAATGTAAGAATGTTTCCACTCCCCGCATACTGTCGTACATCCAGACCTCAGCTGCCGCAAAACACCGGGAAGGGTGCCACTGTCTTCCAAACCCCAAGTTGGAAGACATGTATACGCTCTTTATAAGTATACATATTCATGATACCGCATGACACACTTGCTGAAATCATACTTCTTACAACTTCTTCTTTCATGTCCAAGTTTTCCAAATTTACTGCGCTTGCCATGACTCTTCACTGCGTCCGCATGACATTGGGGTTATAGAATGTTACTTGCGAGAGTTGGACGTTTAGGGGTTGTGGTGGATGTTCTTGAATAGCAATACAGTGTGGGAATGCTGGCTTGCAGGTATACGCTAGAAGCGTTTATTCGTTTCCCCCCCCATCCCCCACCCTGCCCAGAAGTCACCGCGTAGCTTCTGAACACCAGGTCTCCAACAACATAGTCCCCGGCAAGCGTAGGAGACGCACCCTGAATTTACAGAGCCAAACCATCTACAGAGTACATACCTATTGCATGAGCGATGTCATTTTCTGGGCGATTTACATGCCCGCATTCCCATCCCAAGGCAAGGTGTCTTCGACATGACCACCTTGCGAATCCGTTACAGACGGTTTCCAAGCCTCAGATTAAACCAGCTCTTTTCCCAGCAAGACAGGGAGCAGAACTCGTGGGAATTCTGAGTTGGCGGGCCCACCCACCTGGACTCTTAGACGGTGGTCGCCATTGCCACGGAAGCTGGTTGCGCCCACCCTCATCCCTAGTTGCATCTTCCTGTCATGTTCCGTGCAATCGAAGGGGGTTGTAATTTGGAATTTCGATCCTGGCTTGGCTTCCAGAACACGGCGCGCCACAGGCACCACACTTCTAGGCTACCTTAGCCTACCTGATAGTCAGGGGCAGAGCAATTGTGGCCTTCAACGCCCACTTCTGGGATATGCGCCCTGTGGCTAAAAGCAAAGACTGCAGCGTTACAGTCATTGCGCCCAGTATCGTCGTTCAAGGGCGGCAAAATGAGTCTTATGCCGAGTGCGGCCACCCGCCAAAAACGCATCTGGTTTTGACCATGTCTTATGGGGAAACAGCGCGGCATCAGCAGAGGGGCGGCATCTGCAGCCGTAGAAGGAGCTGAACTGATCTCCACTTCGCGCATTGTGTTTTCCGACTCAAGGATTTACAGGTGAGAGTTTATAGTGGAAGCAGCATGCATGCCATGTCAGCTGCTTTGCGTGCCTGATCCGCATCTGCTTGCAGCAACATGCAGCAATAATGCATTCATGTGGCTGCCTCTGGTGCTGGAACTTGTGTAGCTCCCGGAGCAGCGAACCTTTGCAATGTTGAGCATGCATTAGAAGGCAATGTCGGTCGTGACTTTTCGCCTCCGAAGCGTAGACACCCACTGGTGTAATGAAGTGATTCTTTCATACAACATCAAGCTGCCCGGTGGTTGTGTCATGTGCGGTATGTATTATCGTCAATCAGCGATGCCAAGGCAATGAACCCATCCTGTATGTGCACTCTGTAGACATTAATGTCACGCGTGCTGTTAAAGGTTGAGGAAGCTGTGAGGAGAATTATTGGACTTGTAGCCGCCGATAACTAGGACGGCTTTGTCATGTTCCATGGATTTTCATGATGTTTGAGCTGGATGCATTGCCAATGTAAACTTCAAAGTAAATTGCAGTGACGGTGCCGAGGATCTTCTCGTAACTCTAGTCTGATAGAACGATCAGCGCTTTCCTTCTTG